ACTCAGTGCTGTGACATATGCGGTCGTATGTGCTTCAACTGGTTCGGTAAGCCATCAAAGTGGCGACGAGGAGAAAGTATCAGAGCTTGGTAAGTAAGTAGCTTCCGACTCCACTTATTAACTTTGGCCAATAATGCGGTAGATGTGGCAGCACATGCGCTATATAATTACTGCAGTTGCTCTGCGTGCCTGAGTGTTTATTTCCTCGCAACTTAGGTGTTTACTTATTGGTATCACCAATCTGGCTGCGCTCACTTTGAATGTTGGCAAGGTAACTGTCGAAAACTGCCACCTCGATTGCTGATTCCAGGAGAGTGCAGATTGTTACTGGAGAGGATGGGGGACACACTATTTGTGATGGTGCTAGGCTCCAAGAGAAGCTGCACACAGTTTGGGACGGGCTACGGTCCAGCCAGCGCCCTGTGTACGTATGGTAGGCATGTTTCACGCGGCTCCCACTTACATACCACCGTTCCTTCGGGTCGACACTGGACATGTGGCGTGTGGGTGGTGCAGCCCAAACCACTAACGGTCCCATAGTAGGCATAGGCGCCCTGTGGTTGCGCGCAGTCTTAGTAGCAAGCAAGCAAGTTCGGGAACGCATGCTACCATATATGTATATGTATTAACATTTATATATTTATATATATTTATGTATATAGAGAGATAGGCAAACACGGGAATCTCCAGGTCACTACAAGTCAAAGTACTGCAGAAATTCGAGAGCAAGCAGTGGCGTCTGAACATCTGCGGCGAGGAAAATCCGTTTAAAAGAACGTCGTAGGCTTATATAAGTGTGCGAGAGCGTTGACCGCATACGGGAATGGTCGTTCCGTTGGCTGCGCACAGTGAACTAATCGCCCTCTCATACGGGTATTTCTTATCGCGACAGCGTCTACCAATTAGCGAACTCCTGTTCCTCGGTCAATGACGAAAGGCGACTGTGGCAGCCAGCAACTCTCTCTCTCTCTCTCTCTCTCTCTCTGTATATATATATATATATATATATATATATATATATATATATATATATATATATATATATATATATATATATAAACAGGATGGAAGAGCCTATGCTGCGTTGAGGCTAGTGGTGACTAGGTGCTGAGAGATAGTCTACATACCGCTGCAACTGTTGTTCCATGGGCTCATGTCCTAGATGCCTCCTCGTGGCGACCGCTGGGTGGGAGATGGGTTACACCCTTCCGCATGAGTCAGTGAACTGACCAGGTGCTAGACCCGCTGCCTTTCGGGTGTACAATTAATCGAAGACTTCGGTTGAGGAACCGAGTCGTTCTCCAGCCGGGTGTGGGCGTCCTGACAGTATCCTAGTCCATCCTCTTCGGATGTTAAGAAGTGGTCGATGGCCCACTTCCCGTAAAACCTAGCCATGGGAGACAACAGGTCTACTGGTTATGAGCTCACAGCTCGATTGGCGTAGAGCACAAGCGCCACGCATTGTCTCTGGTGGTGTGAGGACACCTCCGGGTGTTCAATGGTTTGCTACTGCCCGCCTCAAGCCAGGCAGCCCCTGGTCAAATCGCTGTAAACCCACCAAAACCCACCTGCGTCTGGCCGTGGTCGCAGGTGTATCCTACTACGGTCGTAAAACATATACGAATCGTTCCAGTACCTAAAAGGCTGCGTGTGACGGCCGTCAGGCAGATCCTAATCTGTCTCTGCAATCACATTCCCGAGCTGGATCTGCCTTGTGGGCCAGGCTATTGAGCCAAAGGCTCCGGGTGGAGTCCCTCAAGCAAACCTCCGAAGCACAACGACCACCTCGCTTGCGACTGCCCACCAATACAACCGTATGCCTGCGCGAAAAGCACTCAGAATCGGATGCTGAAACGTGCGCACACTACTGGACCGGAACTCGAGTGAGCGCCCCGAGCGACGCACTTCACTGGTCGCGATGAAACTGGCGCGCTACAACATCGATATTGCGGCGCTCAGTGAAACTCGGCTCGCTGGGCAAGGTAAGTTGTATGAAGCAGGTGCTGGCTACACATTCCACTGGGTGGGCAACGCCGCCTCAGCACCACGTGATCGTGGGGTCGAATTTGCAATATCCGATCGCCTCCATGGCCAGCTGGTGGATGAACCAACAGGCATCAGCGCGCGACTGATGACTATTCGCCTACGACTCGGAAGAGGTAAGTTTGCCACTTTTATAAGCAGGTACGGTCCGACCATGTGTTATCCTGATGACACGCGTGATCAATTCTACACTCAGCTATCCTCCGTGATACGGTCTGTGCCGAGGAGCGACCGACTATTTCTGCTGGGTGATTTCAACGCGCGCGTTGGGTGTGATGCATCGGTGTGGACAGATGTTATCGGTCCGCATGGCATTCGTTCAGCGAATGCTCCCACTGTGTGGCACTCACGGCCTGACGAATACGAACACTCGGTTTGCACTGAGTGGGAGTAATATGGCAATTTGGACGCACCCACGGTGTGGTCACGCTCACCTGCTCGACTATGTCATCGTACGTTGGCGTGAAGTGCGCATGACACGTGTACTGTGTGGAGCTGAGTGTGGCACTGATCACAAATTAGTGCGGACCAAACTGTACTTATACTTTCGTAAATATATGTATCGCACTCCCGCTGTGAATCGGCGTAAAGTTAACATTCCCTCGGTACTGTGGAGTAAGGCGATGGCTGTACGCCTGTGTGGCGTGGACTGCATAACCACAGTAGGTGAGCTGTGGCACCACATTTGCGACCAGATGACAGTTACGGCCGTGGAAACCATGGGGCGCAAACTGTAAGCGGCCTGATTGGTTTGATGAGAACAATGCGACGATTGGAGCATTGGTATCCGAGAAGAATGCAGCATTTGCTGTACATGTGGCAAACCCCAGGGAATTGGAGAAGAAGAGTTTATTATCGCAAACTTCGACGACGACCGATCCGAAAACTCCGTTGCACTAAAAATGCATGATGGACGGAGAAGACGAGGAAGATGGAATGCTACGCCGAACGCCGCCAACACAAGGAATTAGTTAACTCCTTGAGGGCGGTGTATGAGTCGAGGTTGGAGCGGCTGAGGAGGTTAACCGATGGTTGTTCAGGCACAACCTGTACACAGAGTGCAGATATAATGCAGCTCTGGCGGAAACACTTTTACTGTCTCTTGCACCACCTGGTGTGACGCATGTGGATTGAGGAGGAGGTGCCTCCTGAGCTGAAGGATGCCCTTGTGCTACCACTGTATAAGGGCAAAGGAAGCAAGAAATGCTGCACGAATTATCGTGGCATCAACCTGCTGAGTTGTGTGGGCAAAGGGATTGCGCGAATCCTGCTCAACCGCCTCGTCAGTCAGGTTGTGGAACCTAACCGGGCGGAAGAGAAATGTGGATTCCGTTCGGATCGCAGCACTATTGATATGCTGTTTGCGGCTCGTCAGTTGCAGCAGATATGTAGAGAACGACACCAGCTGTGGTACTCGCTGTTTGTTGATTTTAACAAAGCATTTGATACGGTGAACCGCGAGGCACTGTGACTGGTGTTGGGTAAATATGGTTGTCCGAGTAAGTTTGTAAGTTTAATTGAATGTCTGCACAGTGGTATGCGGGCGAGAGTGCAGCTGAGTGGGGAGACCTCGGATGATTTTCTAGTTGTCTCTGGTGTGTAGCAAAGCTGTGTCTTAGCTCCTGCCCTGTTTAATATATATCTTCAAGCCATGATGTCTTGTGCTTTTGATGCAGCTTGTGCTTACGGTGTTCGTGTGGAGCATTGTATTGATGGTGGGTTGCTGAACATCCGTCGTTTCGGTGCGAGAACCCTAGTCTGTGAGACAACTATCCGTATGTTGCTGTTTGCTGACGACTGTGCGTTGTTTGCACACAGCGCGGATGAGTTGCAGGACAAGACTAGTGCTCTGGCTTCGACAGCGGCCAAATTCGGGCTCACCATCAATACACGCAAGACTGTTTGTCTTTTCCAGCCTCCACCCGGAATGCAGTATGTGGGTTTGCCCGACGAAGTGTTGAAACCACTTCGAGATTTTGCTACCTTGGTAACGTAATAACAACCGACCGGCAGATGACGTGCGAGCTGCGCAACCGCGTATCGGTGGCTGTTGCTTTTGGCAAGCAGTAATGCCGTGTATGGAACAACCACCACCTCACTGCAGGGACGAAGCTGCTGACATATAAAGTCTATGATGCTGCCCGTTCTTCTACACGGTAGCGAAAGTTTAACGTTTTCTCGGAAGGATGTCCGATATTTGGAGCGCTTCCATCAGCAGTACTTGCGCCGAATTTTGAGCATCGGCTGGAATGAACGAGTTACAGACACGGAGGTGCTTCAACGCAGTGGCATATATGCAGTGGACTGCATAATTCTGCTGTGGTACCTGAGGTGGCTCGGGCATATTAGCCGTATGCATTCGACTCGGATATCGAAACAGCTGCAATATGTCCAACTGAATGTATGGAAACGGCACGTGGGAAAACGGAAGTTATGATACCAGGACATGGTCAAAGTGAGCCTATCACGTTCTAATGTTGATTGCAGGCCATATGAATCGAAGGCGGTTGATCGGCGTGCGTGGCGCGATATATATATATATATATATATATATATATATATATATGTATGCAGGCTGAGATGACGTAAATACCATTAACAAGAAACAAACAAAGTTTTGTGGGGAAATTTAAACAAGGTCAAATTGAAAAGGCCGCAGCCCTCATATTACGGTCTAGCGTACGGATGGAGGGCATCTAAGGTTAGCGCAAATAGAATGTACCAGAAACGAGAGGAATGGCATGTGGAATGCGAGTGCATGTAAGAGAAGCAGTAGGTTAAAAAGCTGCACCATCAAGCTGATAAAACATTCAACCCAGGCAGTTCTATTGGCCGAATCAGAACATGAGTACCAAAGTGTGGTGGTGGTGAGTACAATTCTTACGACACGAAGATCGCAAAGTTGGTTGGAGGATGGAATGCGACAAAATGGGGGCGAATAACAGGCGTAGGCTTACCGTTCCAGAATTTGTGTAACCTTTTCGTCTCCTGGCCTTCTTCGGATGGACCAACTGAAATATGAGGTGTTGGGCAAAAATGCTCATAACTCGGTGAAGATGGAAATTTTGTGTAAAATACTGATAGGATGGTGGAGGAACTAATGGGTGTAAATAAGACTAGACTTCAGAAATCAAGCAGAAGGACAAGCAAGCAAATACTGTTTAGAACCAAGACTAGGGTACGTTGTCTCCGTTGACGTGCTCAGCGGAAGCAAAATGATTATGAGATTTGTTGATAGATTGGGGGCGCAATTTCACCGATTTGCCAAAGTATGTCTGTATCTTTAGTGCAGTTATATTAGAAATAGGAACTTTTGTCCGTATGCTGCGCTGTCAAAATAGTTATTAGCCTGGATAGGTTAAATAGAATGTAGAGCATAAGATTACTATTTAGCTCATGTTGTAGGACTTCCGTGCTGCTCTATCGCATCCCTGCACTCAAGGACCGACGGTTTCGCCATTGTTTGAACGCAGCAAGTAGAGATCATCTAAGTTGGGAGTGGAACACGGCACATACTGGTTGGCAACTATCGCCATGACAATTAGGCCATTGGGTTCCGTGAGCAGAGCTTGACACATGCAGTTATGATAACAGAGGGTTATCTTCGGCGCCGCCTGTTAGAAATCCCAGTCGTCTGAACACAGATCGAGGAGGATACTGACTGGATTCGTGTAATCTTCACCACTGCCAGCCAGCGATGCCATTGAAGAGCCAAAAAACGCTGTTTCGTTCACCGTGATAGTTAATAAAGTGGATGTATGGGGCAAGGGAAGTAAGATTATTGTTTCCAAACCTAACATCATCACGCAAATGAAGTGGTAAAATACGAATCTGCTGTTGAGGTAAGCGGAAAGTAAATCTGAGCGAGTCCACCGATTAACACGCGGAGTAGGCACCGTGAAGTCGCGGACCTCTGGGACTCACGTTCAGTGTTTTCGATCCGCTCTGGAACATTCGTACCAGTTCATCCAAGGTTGTGGTCGCCTCGCCGATCAATGACTCCCTAAAAAGGAAAGTAGAGACGAAGATGGAGGCGGAAAAATTGACCAACTTGTGTACATAATGCATGACAAGATCTTGCGAGTTATAGGAAAAGTCGAATCTGGAGGATATGAAGAAAGTTTTATGGTATCGAGCCATCTGAAAGATCGGTCAGGCCTCCAATATGTCGATGCGTCCTAGAAATGACAAGAGGAACCACTGCTCGTGCAGAGTTCTAAGAGTAAACGAATAAGTCAACGCCGACCGGCGACTAAATGACGTGCCTCAAAAGTGACTTGTGGGATTTCTGATTGAATAAAGCTTCGCTATGTTTTGCAGGAACGACGCGCCAGTCTAAGCTCTTAAGTGATATGATAATCTTGTATAAACGTCAAAATCACGTTAAGTGTACGGGAGTGTGGCAGACCGGAGAAAACGTGGTTGCTTATCCTGTATCAGTTTTGCGTTCGACTAATTTTGAGGAAGTGTTTGCTGCCGCGTACTGAGTCTATGGATTCATTCGAATCACGTGAGCAGTTAAGTAGCAGTTTAAAAAAAACTGAGAACACACGTGCGAGACTGAACTAGACCAACAGACCTTGAGAGCGAGAGACATGTGCTTAAAAGTATGGGGAACTGGGGTTCGGAGAAAGCGAAGTGAGCGCCGAAAATAGCTCCACCTACGCAACAGACATTACAAGACGCCAGTGTTGTCGAACCTAAGCCAAACCAACCTCAACAAACATTGCCATCGGAAGGGAAGGTTCAAGTGTCCAGGGTGAGCAACGATTAGACCGGCAATGCGTTTTCCGAACAAACCAAACCGAACAGCACAAGCGCACTGAAACTGAGTAGACCTTAGTGAAGAAGCAATGGCCGCCATGCACGTAATTTGTGAGATCAAAAGAAACAGTAGTGGTCCGACAAGTAGGATAAACTAAAATGCCCCATTCTCAAGCAACGTTTGCGACAAATATCAAACACACGTGTGTAACAGTGAGGTCGAGTCTTTTTATCAGCGAGGGACTAGTACACTTTGTTCAAACAGCTTTTTATCTTGGCAGATAAGGTAGTAGTGAGCTGAGTAATGAAAATGAGGCATGTGAACAACCTGCTGGGTGTAGTTCTCACCTTTAAAGAAAGCCCACGTCCAATCCATGTGTTTAGCACACGGAGGACGTAAAGTTGTAGTTCCTAATCGCAACTATGGATGAGCAAGAGCAACGCATTGACACAATTCAAAACTAATAGACGGATTTATAAAAAAGGGGAATGAGGGTGAAATAGTAGGATCCCAAAACGAATCGGGCAAACACTCAAGACCAAAATTCCTACGCTTTTAAAACACAGTGGGATAGACATCAGTTGTCTATTGTGAAAAAAGATGAGGTGGATAAGAAAGAGCTTCTCTGCAACTTTCACCATTCCGCTTCAAATCAGGTAAAACACCACACACTTCGAACGCGTAGCGTGGCCGAAGGATGGTTGCAAACAGATCACTAATAGGGGGTTGTACGTTATGCCCTACAACATCATGCTGCTTGCCTTGAACCTTCGAGCGCCTTGAGTCTGGTAAGAAGATTCTACTTGGCGAATGGACAAACGTACCTCGTATAGGAAGTGAGGTTGCTGATTCGAGCTTTAGGGTGATTACCACTGCCATCGCTCATTCCCACTGACGTCATCCAACAAGTTCAGTATCCCAAAGGAGCAAACGGAGTTTCATCCCTGCTGAGCGGTTACAACTAATTATTCACTAGTAAAATAATGTAGACTTGAATCCAATCATGCAGCGTTGAATTGGTACGGATGGTTGAAAGCATGCATGGAAAATCACAGCTTCATCCGAGCAATGACGATGCGCGTATACATATCGGTCCCAGACCCGATAGGCTCCCGGTTGGGAGCACAAATAAATGCGTAATGTGAAACGTGCATGAAACGGGATAAGCCTGAGAGCGTTTGCTGGGAAAAACGAGTGCAGAGAGACAGATCTAGTGCCTCGTTTCTAGGACAAAGATTGGGGGCACAGAGAAATGTGCTTCGTGTGTAACTGAATACAGTGTGAGCAACCGGATGCTTTAACTTAGCAATCTAAGATAGCTTACCTGCCGCTACGGTTCCAATCCAGACAAGATATCACAAGTGGCCTGTATATGAAGTGAAAAGATGAAGGAACGAGGACACTATGGCAAGCGCAACCAGTATAGACACGAACCGTGGGCGAGGATAAAAAAGAGAGATAGATAAAGAATGTCGCTACAAGCTAATGCGTGATACAATACAAGCAATCTACCGGACAAAGAAAGCGAAGCAATGGGATATCAAGCTAAAATCAACAATAGGAGAGGCACAAGAGCGCAACCGTCTGGGACGAGATCAAAGGTATTCTGATGGCGAGACAAAAGGGCGGCTCGACAGTGCTGTAGTATACAAATCGAGTGGAAGGTCTACCAGAAGATATCAGGTATACTGCGTAGCATGGCACAGACCGACATTCTCAATTTCAAATGAGTTAGAAACAAAATACGTTCGTGTTATCGGCATGATTACCAAAAGAGTCACACCAGCGATTTGCGCAAGCAACTCGCATGCGCTCAGAAGACAATATCGGCGAAACAATAAACCTGTGCTTATCACTGACCTGTGTCATAATCAACTTTACACCACAAGTAACTCGACATCCAACACATTTTAAACAGGTAACCCAACTAGACGATAGGAGATATGCCGTCAATGCCGATTGTGTTCTTCAGAGTCTCGAGCCAGTAACAGAGCGGGTCGCGCGGAGCCCAACACTAAAGCAGACAGAATAAAAGTAGTTGGACTAATGAGAAGTGTCTTCCACTCCCAGCTCGGTTATTTCTATCTGAAAAATCCAAACCTGGACGAAACCGTCGGTTGCGGAATTCAGGAATGTGAGAGAGCCACACCGAAACGCTCCAATAAGTGCCTTCATATACCGCCGTTGTATCAATCATCGCCTCCTCAAGCCTTATATATCCGACATCGGGTAAACCACGATCCTCGTAGTAGACAGTGCGTTTGGGCATGCGTAGCACGTATCCAAGTCAACGTAATTTGCTCGACCATACTGTTGAGTTAAGAAACTGAACTGATCATTATCCCTTAGTAGTCGCCTGCTTACTTCATGGTTGTAGACACAATGATACTAAACGGCACATGGAATACACCGTAGGCAACGATGGTCCAGATGTAGAAAGCACTCGAGAGCATTACATCGGAAAGGTTGTTTCACTTCTATATAGGAGAGTGGCCATCACTGATGTTCAGTGTGTGCGATTTCAAGAGGGCAAAAATTCATTTTAAAGACAGAGTTGGACATTAGTAACACGCGAACCGACCCTAGCAGTTGTGCGGCAGTCGCCTCTTATGAAGCTGAAAAAATAAGAAAAAGGATCCATCGACTCCGGTTTCTCGTGGTCAGTGGCCAGACGACAATCAAGTGACTAGTGAGCTTACAAAACCATATCGCTAGGTGGTGTGTTGTTTAAAGGGTGGGGTTAGGGGCGCCACCCTGCGATTCTTAGAGAAGGCTATATCGTCCACACAATTTAGTTCGACAAATACTTCTCTCCAAATGCCCATCTTCGGCCGGTGGCCGAGTAATTAGGATGTCTGGCTTGTAATCCAGTCTACCAGCTTGACCTTGCGCGAGCAAGTGACCTCACAGGACTCCTAGCTCGCACCCAACTGGCGTCGATCAGGTGCCCGCGAAGCGCTGGTTCGGTGTGCTGGCGTAATACTGTACATGACACTCCACATCGTCAGATCTCCCAGGGAAATACACTAAGGTAGGGTAAACGATAAAGATGGAGATATGAAAAAATTTGATAACATCGGTAAACGCAAGTTGTTAACGCCCAGAAATCCTAGGGCGTATAATGCTTGCATAGTTTCCACTTCTTCTTTTGGACCATTTGTTAAACAGGAAAAAAGCCATGAATTGAGATCAAAAAGCGATTGAAATTAATGGACATACGTATGGTCTGCCTAACAGATAACAAACGCTAACCCACTACAGTGGCGGTGTATTCATAAACAGAATAATGTGGTTCTCTCCGATGGGTCAAATGTGATAGAGCTTCGTCGAAATAGAGGCTGCATTGACCACACCAGTTTGAGTCAATTGTTGGGGCACCGCCATCTTTACTAGTGACCCATGGTAGACGTGTTCCTAGACACCAAAGGTGCATTTGATTTGGTGGGTTGATGTGTCTTTTGGGACAGTCTGCTCAGGAAAGGTGTACCCAGATAAACATGTAAATGTCGTAAGAGCGCTGTACGCGCATAGTTCAGACATAAGGAGGGTTTATGGGAAACTGTCGCAGCCCTTTAATATCGCTAGCGGTGTGAAACGAGGTTGCCCGGTGCCACCTTTCCTCTATAACTTCCCCATTGACAAAATCATGGAAAGAGTTCACTCGTCACGACTTGCAAGATGCAGAGCTGCTCGCACGTGACCGATGCCTTGACTCAGATCACGCCGAGGACACTGCCCTAATCTGTGACAGCTCGGAAAAGTGCTAAGTTACACTGGAGAAACCAGCTCTGGCTGTCACTCGCTTCGGGCCATGCTTTGCACCCTCGAAATGCAAAGTCCTTCTCCAAGATTGGCAGGGACCAACTCATGCGCCGACCCTTGGTAGTGACCGGATAGAAGCCGTTAAGAAATTCAATTGTCTCGATGGCTATAATAACGCCCGTGGGATCGAAGAAGAGATGATCAACTACATAGCACAAGCTCTAGCCACTTGCCAATCTCCGCCACCTGACGCGCCGGCGCGACATCACTCTCGTCATGAAAGGTAGTGTTTCCAAAGCAGCCGTCCGTTCAAGTCACCTGTACGAATGCGAAACCTTATCCAAAAAGTCGACAGACATAAAGAAGCTTTGAGCGAGTTTGGCGTCGCGTATTTGGTACAGGAAGAACGAGTGGATCGCTCAGCACCCTTATATCATGCACCAGGCTTCGAAGGCTGGATCACGTGTTGCGCATGTTTACACACCGGCTTCCGCATCGTTCGTTGGTTGCATGACTAGGGTGTGGATGGGAGAAGAGGTAGGCCAAACGATGACTTAGTCTAGAGGAATGAGGGCCATCAGTTCGAAGTTGGCGTCGGCTAGTGACCGAAGGAGGATGAACACGTCTAGTTGGATATACTTGTTGACATGGCAAAGTGCCGGCTTCAATGGCAGTTGTGTTGTGAGTCTCTTTATCCTTCTCCTTCCTTTTAGTTTCCAAGTGCAGCAACGAGGTTATTCATGTAAACAACGCGTGCTTCTATATGATAACTCCAGTTATTCAGGAATATGTACAACAAAGGTCGAGCTTCGAGTAACCTACGTGATATGTTGAACAGTTTTTCGTAAACCAATACACGGCTTACAAGTCGAAAGAAAGACATTTTTCTGACATGCGCTTTAAATCTATGCATCATCACAAGCAAATGTGATAAAATGATGTGAAGACAGTTTTCAAATCGGGGAAGGCCATCACATTAGGTTGTATGATGTCACTGTTCATGTTGTCCAAGCAGCTCGCGAAGCATTCTTTATCCACACACCGACACGAAGCCCAATGGGAGGTTGAAGTGCGGATGAAACCTTTGGAGGGAACACCTCGCACAGAAGCAGGCCCCCAGGAGTCGGTTGCACGGATAGCCGTATCAATTCTATTGTGCTTTTCTCAATAAACACTTCGTCTTATTTTCAAACTCTCCTTTTTACCACTTCTACCAATTGAAATCCTCAAAAAGCTGAATTGAAACTGTGCCGGAAAATTTGAAACAACATCTGCACCTTGAGATCATGTCGTACTAAATGATCAGTCCAAGTAGTTGGACTGTAATTCGTACAGTCGAGAAATATACATTCAATACTGCGGTGGATGCCAGGTTGATTGTCAAGAGAACCAGCGAGTTAGCAAAGCATGATGTCCTCCAGTAATTTAGATGCCGTAGAGATGAAGTCAGTGCCACGGTGAACGCAACGGTAATCCTTAAGTCCGTTGCAAAAAGAACGATAACAGCTGACAGCCGTAACTTAGAGGGAATATTCGCTTGAGACAGAATGTCGGCGGCCAAACCAAGCACCAACAACCATCCGCTGTCATTTAGCAACGACGAAGAAAGACGACCGGCGTTAGGTAACCAGTTCAATTGCAAAAATCCGTGTTGAATGTACATGATGATCGGGTAACCAACGGTTGCCTTGAAATGACAGAGGTTAACCGTAGTTTCATTTGAATCCAGGATGTCAGCCAAGCCAAACCTAGGGAAAACAAGCTTCAAACAGGCACGTGATGTGTGGAGTAAGTGGCTAACATAAAGGACAAGGATGGGTGCGATTGCTGACTATACTGATAAAGTCGCCACGACCAGCGCTTGGGAAGCGTTGCAACAGTAAACGTTCAGACAAGATCGCTGCATGGGTGCCTCTCCAAACAGGCCAGCAACCAATCAGATGCGAACTGTGATATGCGATGCTTTCAATAAGATGGTTGAGCATGCATAGTGTGACGTATACGGTAAGCAACGCCAACTTACCTATGTATGTCTCCATTAACTAAAACCCGGGTGGGAATGATGATTCTTTTCCAATTTGGATTAAGCGTGTTTTTGATTTCCTCTGTTCTATAGACCACTGTTCGGCTGAAATAAAGGAATGAAAAGCAGAATGCGGGAAAACGGTTGCGAAACAGCAGAACATATCTTCATAAATTCGATAAGACACCGCCCCCCCAAACTGTAAACGCTGCGATAGATCAGGATGAGCAGCGCTCGTGTATCGTGGAAACACAACCAAGGTGAGACTGACACATTGTCCGGCATCACGCAACATACTATTGAAGTGGTGTCAGAGTATTCATTGAAATGAAAATGCACAGGTTAGTTGAGCGGTTCTCATTACATGCTTGCTGACAGCTTCCTTTGGTGTGTAAATTGCTTGTTATCATCACACCTATTAGGACAAGGTTGTATGGTGGTCATACTTGGTGTATAAACAAAGAAGCGATCGAGAGTAATGCAGGCTAGCAGATGCAACTTCCTCTAAGGGGAACCTAATAATTCATAGGTGATCAGGGATCACAACCGAGACGGTTTAGTTGTATAGTAGATGGGAATTTCGCATTCGCAGTATCTTACCACGCTGTTAACAGATTAGTCCGAACTCATATTTCGATATTGCGCTACATTTCATCGCTAGTTTTACCCCAATATTAGTTGTGACGATGTGGTGTATGATTGTAAGCGTTGCACTTCGATTCTGAGGTTACAGTTGCTTGAACGAGCAACCCAAAATGATCGACGTGTACAAGTTGCAACCGAGGATAGTGTGATAAGATCCGATTTAGGAAAGAAATACAGTTTTGGGATGCGGGTGCAAGATGACGCAGCGTGACCGGTAATGCAGATCGGGTCGGTTAGAAAATGATTACTACGATCGGTGTTATAAGTGAGAATTACGAAACGGCCTCCTAAGCAGTGTTAGGAAGCATAAGACCCATACGTTACCGGAAACGAATATTATCGCCATATCCCTGGCCATATGTCGATGGAAAATAGCACTTGTAACCTAGTAACGATGGTTGGTGAGTGGGGCATACTTCAACAAGAACGAAGTGCTGTGTAGTCAGACACTTTCCATTCATGTTAAGCTATTAAGTCGAGTAGAGCGCATCTTGCTATTCGCTTGCATCCTCTCAAGTGGAGTGTGCAGTGTGTCGTAGAACACTGATGGAAGGGACATAAGTAGTACGCCGGCCCAATGTACCGACGCTTCGCTGCCATCTGACTACTATCAGTCGCCTATGGGCTGATTATACCGCGAGGTTGCCCGAACCAAGTAACAAGACTCGGTATCATAAGATATACATCTCAAACCGAAGCTAAGAAAGACGATAACGTTAGATTGTTTAACATCCAACATATGACCCGAGTGATTCCGAAAACAATTTGGGAAGTGCAACCCAACGTAGAGCTATGGATCCCTGACGCAGACAAACCCTCGCACTTCAATTACACCAACTTTTGTTGTGATGACGACAGTAAGGTAAGACGGATCATTGAACGCTGCGATGGTATTTCTAAGCTTGTATTCAATTTAGTTGAGCCAGGTGGAATTCGAAATAATACCGAAAAAACAACCTAAAAAGTTGGTTCTTTCGGGAGTCAGACAGAGCGTAGGAAAATGGTGAGCGACTATGTGAAGTGAAAAATATTAATGTGATTCGGAAACAAACAAGTGTACTTGCAACCCATTTGATGCACGGGGACCAGAGGGGATGTTAGGTACGAGACAAAAAGTAAGAAGGACAAGTCCAAATTCACTTTAAAGTAGCCCAGTATGAAAGTTGGACCGACTAATTTGAGCACCAACTCAGTAGGCCAGATGCGTGAGAGTTGTCAGTTAGTTCACCTAGTCTCGCATCTGTACTTGAAATCAGTCCTCGAAATCGAAGAATTACGATAGATTGACGCTGCAACAACGCTTAATACCACTATTACTGAAAGTCCTTGAAGGATATAAGCAGTATGCCGGCACGCCATACCGGCGCTTCGCAACTACGTAAGCACCACTAGTCGCGAGTAGGCTAAGGATACTGCGAGGGCCATCCGGTTCCGTACACAGGCTCGAACCCGTGACATTAGGGACACCTTGTCCTTCTGTCCACACATCAATACCAAGAGCGTGAAGAGTCAGTGTTACCTGTTGGCCGAACTGACCCAGAGTGTGGACGTTAAGCGAATAGTGCGAAAAGACACTCTAGGTTCGATGGACAGCTACATGTATTGATGGCAGCAGCTGCGATGTCAATGGCAGTCTCTTGCCAAATAGCCGCATAAGAAGTGTTGAGAACAAGGGAAGAAAGAGGGAGCATTCGAGGTTGGATTTTGAGTAACGTTGTGTGGTTGGATTGCCACACACAAACAAATTGAAGTAGACCTCGGTCAATTTGATCACAAGGACAGTATCGGCGGAGTCGAGAGATATGATACTTTCTGGCTGTTCACACTAGAGAAGGATTTTGTTTGACTCGACGGTATGACCCACAAAGCAATGGTAAGTGGATGTTTACTTGAGGGACTCTGCCCTGAGCTTTTTTCTCAATAGTCTGACCCAAAATGTAGTGGGGGACATAGAGATTCGCTTGAGAGACTCCAGCCGAAGCGTTTGAGCCAACCGCCTGAGCCACAAGACAGTAAGGAGCAAGTCCAGCTCGGGAGTGTGATTGCACAGACCCATTAGGATCTGCTTGAGATCTGTAACACACAACCTTCGAAGACTTATGATAATTCACATGAGTTTTACAACCGTAGTATTCTAAGCGCCTACGACAATGGCCAGCAGCAGGAAGGAGTTCGCAGGCTTGCACCAACTGACCAGGGGTTGCCTGGCTTGAGACGTGCGGTAGCAAACCAGTAAATACCGGAGGGTGCCCTCCCACCGTCAGAGAAAATACATGGCGCCTGTGCTCTACGCCAATTGAGCTGTGAGCATGTAACTTATAGACCTGTTGTCTCCGATGGCTCAGTATTAAAAGGAGGATCATCAACCTCTCCCCAACCTTTGGAGACGATTGGATTGTGAGACTCAGTTAGCCTGACACGGAAGCATTGAGCTGTCTGGTATGAGTGATCCTGAAGGCAATTAGAAAGTTGTTACGTGGACCCAACATCCCCACAAGTTCGCAAGCTGAAAGCATAGAGATCCGCATTCAAACCAAAGCATATGTTCCGATCAGCCTCCCAACTCGCGAGATATTCACTTTTCCATCAGCCGTTGTACCTAAGAAACATTTCTGTCTCCGGCCAACCTCCACAATTATGGAATCTGCAGCCTATTTCACATAAGGAACATTCATTTTTACAGTCTAGCCTCCGCATCTACCAACATTCATTTTTCGACAGGTTTCGTCGGCATAGTCGCGTAATGCCAATTTTACTTCCTTATGCCTTGCTTCCACGGTTTGCTTATGTAAACCATTCAATGTGAAATACTCACTTATTTCACAAGCGCGGTATATACGTAAAGCTGGACTGCGCTGTAATCGCCTTAAGCCTGTTCAGTAAAAAAAGCCTTTTGTGAAAGGCCTGTCTTTTGTCGTATTTCTCTCGGGTTCGGAGTCGCGAATGAAATTGCATTCGGTCAAGGAGCCCGCTCAATTTGCGCGTAGTAACCGTGTTGCGCCTAAGTCTCACGGGTAGTACGAACTTCAACTTTTATCGGTTACCTTGCCGTGCGTGGATGTAGTTCCGAGTCACTTTTGTTCGGCCAACTAGAAGTGTTATTGATACCAGATCGTCAAAACGTGGCGTAATCAGGAGGGAGACATAACAAAAGTGCCACCTAGTGTAGCTCAAGTGGTCAGGGAAGTACGCAAGGCATCGCAGCATGTTTAGGTCTAGTCCAGTCGCGATGGACATTTCGCGTATAACTGCTTATGGTTGCGTTACACGACAGTGAGAACAGAAAGCACCGATGAGCCGTCGTTGATGATTGTGGACATGATGCTCATAACCCGGTTTAGCGTGGTTAGTAAAATATGAAACTCGCATCAGGCTTAAGCAACAAACATAACCTGTCCTTTAGGCGACACAAAGCAGCAGCAACAGCAGCTGGGGCCGGATAGCTCTGATGCATTAATAAGCAATAAAGTCAAGGTCATGCTGAGGAACTGGTACCTGATGAACCGCAGACAACGGTCAGTTCAGTTCCAAGGCTCTTACGAAAGCAAAGGATTTCACGAGGAAAGACGCAACCTGTTTGAGGTAGATCTACTACCTAACTTACTGCAATCGTAAGTCAGTTAAGAAATAAGTTTATCGTAAACTTCACCAGCTATTACATGTAGTTTACAAATCGGGTATCCTCGCCGGGGATAAAGAAGCACAGATCAGTCAACTTCCGTTTTGCAAACGACTAGCTTGACGATCAAGTTAAGTCAAAATAAGTTTTATGTATCCAAATGGTTAAAATTTTAGCACTTTACAATGTCGACTACGGATGGGTAAAAATTATAGTACCAGCACTGAAATTTTGTAAGAATGAAAAAACGACACTGTGTACAGGTGTCACTTGAATAAAATGTCATTATAAAAGAGCAAAAATTAAACATTTCCGGACAGAATACTCTAAAGCTGCAATCTGTTGACAGGTCAGCGTTGCAAACTAGATTTTCAATCAAGAAGGCCCATCTTCAAGTGGGCAGCATCTTAAGGTTTTCCCAAAATGCAAGCGAAGGACAGTAGTGATAGCCTTGTAAATAGTTTGGTCAAGGTCAATGTTGAAATATTCCGAGAAAACTAATGTATCCGTATCGATACTGCAAAAACGATGTTCATAGAAAACAGCAACGGCCGATTTAAAGGCCAAGCCCATTCTTATCGTCATGTAAATAATGAGAATAACGCATTTGACGGAGAAAATACGCATGATAGGCGAGTATGATCATCAGGTGTTCTAGGCGTTCGTTTCTTATATCAGAAGACATCCTATCAGTTGGAAACCTCATTTGCCAACAAAAATACGGTCTTAAACCGGTCACATTGCACCCAGCCTCATATAGATATTCATTATATAAAAAACGTAATTTTTGTCAACCTAACTCGGTCCGCACAAAGTGCTCGTTTGTGTGAACATTTACATA